CTTCCCCCGCAGGGAGCAGGCGGGCCCCTGCTGGAGAGCTCGGCCCGGTGCTGAGGGGTGCCTGAGATGGCGGCGGAAGAAGTGGCGAAATCCTCTTCTCGTGGCCCCCATGAAGCAGTTTCCGAAGTGATTCTGTGAGGTTTGAGAGTCGGAGTCTGCGGAAATGCCCGAAATAAAAGTGACCCCGCTGGGTAAGTGCGGCCTGAGACCGTCCTGGCGCGGGGACACGGGAAAGCCCTGGAGCTCAGCGCTCCGGTGGCAGACGTTACACCGCGGGAGGAACCGGCCCTGCGGACACAGGGTCTCTGCGCAGTGTCCTCCCTTGGTTCCTGTCAGCGCGTCGTTGTCCTCCTTTTGTCTTCCAAGCAAGACTCCAGCGGTTCAATAGCCCCATTTTAATGACCGGGTTCATTGATACATCCCAGTAAAGGGATAGATAACTAGTTCACTGAGCCGTGCTGAACGGCCATGGGAAGCAAACGTGTCTCTTCTCCCTTTTTTCCCTTTTCTCTGGATGCACAGAAACTGTTGGGATGCATTTATGTACAGAGAGGGCAGAGGATGTGCTGAGCAGCACTGCTGTATCCTGCTGGACAGCTTTCTGGCTTCCATGGGCTTAACTAGAGCTTAATGAAGGTTTCTGGTGCTTGCACTGAGAGGCAGAGCCCTGGGAGCTTTGAGTTCCATGCGAAATCCTTTCCGGATAGGAGATGATGTTGCTCTTACTTGAAACGGTTTAGCTGTGGGCAGTGGGCAGAGAACAGCCGTGTCCTGCATCTGAACTGCTCTGGGTTTGGATCCAGTGCTGCATTTACTGCAGTTTTGGAGCTGGAAGCTCAGGGAATGGGATAAGTCAGTTCACATTTGCTGCCCTCTGACAGATCAGCTGCTTGGAAGGAAGGATGTGGCCTTTTCCTGCGTTGGGAAAGGGCTACGAGGTTTTCATGGACCTTTAAATGCTGCTTCCTTGAAGTGACTGTAGATCCAGCGGAGGTTCCTCACTCGCCTCTCTCTGGTGCAGGAGCTGGGCAGGACGTGGGCCGCAGCTGCATCCTCGTGTCTATTGCCGGGAAGAACGTGATGCTGGACTGTGGGATGCACATGGGCTACAACGATGACGTGAGTCTGGAGGGGCCTGGATGCTGCGGAGGGGTTCTCGGGGTACATGTGCCTGCCTGTTCCCAGCTCCTGGTTCATCGTTCCGCTGTTGTTCCCTTCTCTTTGAACACTGCCTGGCTCATCTCGTGTTAGACACCGGGGTGATATTAGCCAGGTGGGTGTTAATGGGTTGTTATCAGCCGCTGCTGGAGCTGGGTTGTGGCAGGGAATCAACTCTTGCCCATCGGAACCTTGCTTTCCTGAGCAGGGGGTACATCCCCTCATGTATTCCTGGGCTATAAAGTGCCACCATCCAACCATCCTTCCCCTGGGCTGTGGATTCTGGAAGCAGATGAAGCAGGCTGTGCATGCTCCATTCCAGGTGTTTGGGTCTTTCTGTATTTCACACGGGGAGGTACCTTCTATGCTTTAAAGCATTAAAGCTGACACTTGTTACACTGCTCTTACCATGATGCTTGGTTTTGGGCAGTGAATTACTTACGGGATGTGCACTGCCATCTCGGATGCTTTAGAGGGAGCAAGGGATGATGTTTGGTCACCTGATAGTAGAGGAGAGGAATAATGGCAAAAGTACTGTGTAAGACAGAAAGAGTTGAGGTGTGATACAGCAGCTGTGCCACTATAGGAAAGGTTTGGAGGCTTCCTGCCTTGGTGTCATGGGTGAGCCAAAGCACTGGGCACCTCTGTTACGCTGAAGATAAACCTGGCTGTGATTTACTTACAAGGTCAGTTTCGCTGCCCCCCTCCTGTTCTTTATCTCTTTGACTCTTTCTGCACATAAATGCTGCATCGAGCACGTTCCCAGTGTTTCAGGTCATTCACACCGTTGTTTTGTTGGGTTAGTAACGTGGTGGTACCTGGCTTGGTTTTGTAATGGAAAACCTGGTATTTCATGTGTCTGCAGAGGCGCTTCCCTGACTTCTCCTACATCACTCAGAACGGGAGGCTGACAGACTTCCTAGACTGCGTGATCATCAGGTGAGACAGCTTCCTTCCTTCTCCTTCCTTTTTTCCTTCCTTTTCTTTTCCTTCCTTTTCTTTTCCTTCTTTTTCTTTTTCTTCCTTTTCTTTTCCTTCCTTTTCTTTTCCTTCTTTGCCTTCCTTTTCTTTGCCTTCCTTTTCTTTGCCTTCCTTTTCTTTGCCTTCCTTTTCTTTGCCTTCCTTTTCTTTGCCTTCCTTTTCTTTTCCTTGTTGTACATTGATCATTGATATTGGGCTATTTAACAATCTGAAGATCCAAGAACCAGGCAGGCTGAATTCCTGTGCAGCACCTCCCTTATCCTTTGTGTCTTTTTGCAGCCACTTCCACCTGGACCACTGTGGAGCTTTACCCTACTTCAGTGAGATGGTGGGTTATGATGGACCCATTTACATGACGCATCCTACCAAGGCCATCTGCCCCATCCTCCTGGAGGACTATAGGAAAATAACTGTAGACAAGAAAGGGGAAACCAACTTCTTCACTTCCCAAATGATTAAAGACTGCATGAAAAAGGTGGTTGCTGTGCATCTGCACCAGACAGTGCAGGTGAGTGATGACCTCTGCGCTCACGGGTCGTAGCAGCGGGGTGGTTGTTGAAGGCAGAGCAGGTTTGGGTTGCTCCAAGGTGTTCGCACTAACACAGTGCTTGCCTCTTGGTGCAGGTGGATGAGGAGCTGGAGATCAAGGCCTACTACGCAGGCCACGTGCTGGGAGCAGCCATGTTCCAGATCAAGGTTGGGTGCGAGTCAGTCGTGTACACTGTGAGTACGTGCAACTAAGTGCAGACACCTCCTAATGCCCTGTGCCATTACTTAGAGAATACTGATGGATTTCTCCTCTTCCATTAGGGTGATTACAACATGACTCCAGACAGACATTTAGGGTAAGTAGGAAGCTGAGTTGTGGGTATTTTTGACAGGAAGATTTCAGCACAGCTTCTGTTAATACCAGGGGCTTCCAGCAGTGATTCTTTGTCACGAGACTGGAACATTTAGTGATGTCTTTGGGAAGGTAAATGCAACTTGGAATTGTGACAGGGAACAGATTTACATTGGGTCTACCACAAAGACCTCAATGTAAACTTCTTCTGTATGATCATATCAATACATTTTTAAGGCTGCGTAATAATTGGACATGTATCATGTTTGCTTGTAATGTATCTTCTAAATATATTTAGTTTTCAAGAGTGCCAATCACAAACTTCAATGTTCCTTTAATTTTACTGGTATATATGAAAGATTTATAGTATTGGTGTTATTGAGAGTAATATTTCAGTGCATTTCAAGCAGGTGGTAGCCTGGAGAAGAGTGGCTTCTCTAAACCTGTAGGCTCTGCTCTGTGACTTTGGGCAAGCTGATCCCACCTGTGAAGCTGTTTTCCTGTCTGCAGCTGGAGCCTGTGCCATTCCCCCTCCATCTTTGAGAGAGACTTGCAGCTCAGAAATGCCAGACACCATCTCTTCATTTAATTCCTCTTGTTCTAGTGCTGCCTGGATCGATAAGTGTCGCCCGGATTTGCTGATCACTGAATCCACCTATGCCACAACCATCAGGGACTCCAAACGCTGCAGAGAGAGAGACTTCCTGAAGAAGGTTCATGAGACTGTGGAAAGAGGAGGGAAGGTACTGAGTGCTGGTAACCTAAGTGCTGTGGCTTGTCCTCTGAGAAGCCCTTGTTGGCTCTGATTAACTTGGGCACCTACGTGTGGTCACTGCATGAAACTGAAGGCACTGTTATATTCCTCCATCTATGCTTTAAAAGAGAGACAAATGAACACTTGAACTCCACCAAGAAGAAACCAGACTGTGAGTGCATGAGGCAGTAAGGGAAACGCTGTGCTTACAGTCTGCAGATGTGGAGGGTGAAGGCAAAATTGATGTGCATCTGCACCCTGAAACGTCCTCTTAGTCCTGGAAATTAAACTAAGACTGATTGTTCAGTTACTGCTTCTAAACCTGATCAGGACTGATTTCCAGTGGAGCCAGGTCTGTCTGTTCAGTGTTCTGCCGTGTGCTGTGTCTGCTGCCATAAACCCCTGCACGTGCAGGGAAGACACACACCACCCAGTAAAGGATGTTTCATACCTCGGTTGTGGAAAGGAAGGTCACCAAGGGAGTATCAGACAGCGAGGGGGACGTGTTCAGAACTGATAACCATTTACACACAGTTTGGTTTCACAGGCTGTAAATCATCTTTAATTGCAGGTTCTCATCCCAGTTTTTGCCCTTGGACGTGCCCAGGAACTTTGCATTTTATTGGAGACCTTCTGGTGAGTGCAGGCTCTTCTGTGCGTGTCCCACCTCCTCTTTGTCCTCCTCAGGCTGTGGTGCTGGCAGGTTTCTGTGCCTCTTTCATGTCTGTTTAGCACATCAGCATTGCTCTGCATGGCAGCCCGTGCTGGCGATTATGGAATGACATCTTTCCATTTCTTTCCCAGCATTCCTGACTCTAAGCAGCAAACTAACCATTTCCTCCTCCCCCAAACACTCAGGATCAATTAATTGTCCCTTAAAATACTGATTTTTACCTTTACCACATAGTAACGTTGTTTTCCAGGAGGAGGGATGAACAAATATTAAACTTAGATATAATATGTAATTATAAGCAGTATCATTTGGTATTATTCCCCACAGCAGAATGGTTAATATTTGTAATGGAAGGAAGTTGCCTGTAGTGGGTGGAAGGAGAACTGGACTAAAGCTACTCTGTAGTAAGTTAATGCACAGTGATGTAGCACTGATAGGACTTGCGTATAGTTTATTGTGTAGCTCACAGAGAGCAGGGTATGTGCAAAACCTCTGCTGGGACTACACAGGGTTGTGGACTTTGAGCATGGAGAGCTGGGATCCTTATTTGTCCCTCACAGGTATCTGGAACTCTTATTCCTACAGGGAAAGAATGAACCTGAAGGCTCCCATTTACTTCTCCACGGGCCTGACGGAGAAGGCCAATCACTACTACAAGCTCTTCATCACTTGGACCAACCAGAAGATTCGGAAAACCTTTGTGCAGAGGAACATGTTTGAATTCAAACACATCAAAGCCTTTGATCGGGCCTTTGCAGACAACCCAGGGCCGATGGTAGGTGGACATGATCCTTTCCAACACCGAATCTCTTAGTACAGGCTTTATTTCTGACAGGGTGAGTTGGCAGCAGCTGAGAGGAAGCTGTTGAGCGTGATGGCACCACCATCAAACCAGTCAAAGTTTTTATCAATCACACTGTGGATGCTCACAGAAATCTCCTAAAAAGCAGTTGAACTGATGTGAAAATTAGACAAAGTGGGAGGAATAAAACAGCAAAACACCCCCTTACAGCACTGCTGTAGTTAATGTGGTGTAATGGGTGTTACTGGACATTCACCACAGTTTCAGGGTATTTATATATTATAAATAACGGGGAAATTTCCTGTTTGCTGTGGTGATTCTTGACATACCTATCTTTGAATGAACTGCAGGTGGTGTTTGCAACCCCGGGTATGCTTCATGCAGGACAGTCCCTTCAAATCTTCAGGAAATGGGCTGGGAATGAGAAGAACATGGTAAGAAATCCTGGTTCCTTGAGTGAGGTTTTATATTAATGTGATAACATTATATGCATTATATTATCATACTGTATAGAATCATAGACTACGGTTGGAAAGGGCCTTAAGATCATCTAG